GAGGCACCCATCGATGTGTTTCTCTCACATCCTGGTCCTCTCTGTGTTGTCCTCTCCCTTCCACTCTCCTAAAAATCAATGGAGACATATTCTCAAATGAGAACTAAGAAGAAAGGAAAGGAGAGGAGAGGAGAGGAGAGGAGAGGAGAGGAGAGGAGAGGAGAGGAGAGGAGAGGAGAGGAGAGGAGAGGAGAGGAGAGGAGAGGAGAGAAGCCCTAGCCAGTTTGGCACAGTGGATAGAGCGTCGGCCTGCGGACTGAAGGGTCCCAGGTTCGATTCCAGTCAAGGGCATGTACCTGGGTTGCGGGCACATCCTCAGTGGGGGGTGTGCAGGAGGCAGCTGGTCGATGTTTCTAGCTCTCTGTCCCTCTCCCTTCCTCTCTGTGAAAAATCAATAAAATATATTTTTAAAAAAAGAAAAGAAAAGAAAAAGGGCCTTTGGCCTTAGGGACACGAAGGGCACAATGCTGAGCAGAGCTCCTGTGAGTGGAGTCGGGCACCGGACGCCGACAGCACCGTCCGCGGTGGGCAGTCACCTTCCCAGGTGGCCTCCCTCGAGCCTGGCGGGGTGGTTGGGAGGGCAGCGCCCTCACATGACGGTGCCCCCAGGAAGGCCATGCCACGAGGGAGGCTCGACACCCCGTGAGCCGAGGGGGATGCACCTCGAACCCTGAGGCCTGAAGAAGCAGTTACCCTGTGACAGGGGCTCTGCGGCCTCCTGATGACCCAGGAGAGGCGAGGACGAAGGCCGGATCTCTCACCGTCACCCTTCCCAGAACGTCACAGAGCGGACAGGCCGCGGTGGGCCACATCCTGGCAGGGGGAGGGAGTTTCGGCTGGAGGAGTCTTTGCTTGGGTGGGAACCTGTCGGCTCCCAGTGCACCCACGCCCTCTGTCCGTCCATCGACGCTGGAGGAGTGCTTGCTGTGTGCCCTGCCGGCTCCCAGGCATCGGGCAGCAAGGATGAGGGGCGCGGAGTGCTTGCCTTCAAACCCTCCCCAGGCCAGTCTGGGAAGTGGACAAAGAAAGAGATCATTTCAGCCCGGCCGGTGTGGCTCAGGGGTTGAGCATCGACCTATGAACCAGGAGGTCACAGTTGGATTCTGGTCAGGACACATGCGGGGTTTCGGGCTGGATCCCCAGGGTGGGGCGTGCAGGAGGCAGCTGATCAGTGATTCTCTCTCATCATTGATGTTTCTATCTCCCTCTTCCTCTCTGAAATCAATAAAAATATATTTTTTAAAAAGCGGTCATTTCAGGGCAGTGTGAGAAGTACCCACTGAGGGAAGGGTGGGTGAGTGGGGGTGGGGGTGGCGGTGGGTGGGGGGTGATGGCAGAGGAAGGAGCGCCTGAGTGAAGGTCTCCCCTATTCTGTGGACTCCAGGGGCCCCCGCAGCAGCAGCTGGGAGAGGCCCAGGTCCCACTGAGCCTTTGCCATGAGCCCGGGAGCATCCCACCCGCAAAGGGCAACGGGAAGGCGGCCCTGCCCCCACCCCTCTCTCCCTGGGACAGCCACAGCTTCCTCTTTGTCACTTTCACTTGGTACCTGGGTCCCCAAACAGGAACTGTTGCAGAGCCCATGGGTGGAGCCACTGGGGACCTGCAGGCCCCAGGGACAGCCCACAGTGTCTGCCCCTCCCCCTCCAGGCCAGCCTAGCTGAGGACCTGGGGCGGGGCCAGGGCAGGCCTGTCCCTTCAGTGTGTGCATCTGCCTGCCCAGCCCGCGCCCCCGCCCCCCAGGTGCCAGTGTGTGCAGTGACCCTGGAAGGGGGGTGACTCCAAAGTCACCACAGCTGTGACCGGGAAGCCAGGGAATTCCCATCTGCAAGGCTCTGCCATTGGCAATATGGGGGGGGGGGGGGGGGAGGTCTTTTCCCCATTTCCCTCTCAACCTGAAATTTGTAAAAAATATATTTTTTATTGATTTCAGAGAGGAAGGGAGAGGGCGAGAGAGAGAAACAGCAATGATGAGAGAGAATTGATCGGCTGCCTCCTGCACTCCCCACACTGCCTAGCTCACAGGGCCCACCCTGCCCAGCTCCCAGGGCGGCTCTGAGTCCTGACCACCACGAAGTGCAGGCTCCCGCTTGGGGGTCCCGCACTCTTGCAGCTCATGTTGGTTTCCTTCTGAAACCCACGTTTTAATCCCAAGAAACCTCCGATCGGCAAGAACTGAGACGGAGCCTGCGTGTTAGGGCACGCGTCCCGTGTGGATCGGTTCCTCAGGCTGTTGTAACCGACCCCACAGACCCAGAGGCTTAAACAGAACTGTAGGGCCTCAGCTCTGGAGGCCACAAGTCCAAGATCAAGGTGTCCGCAGGGTCGGTTCGTTCCGAGGCTGCGAGGAGGCTCTGCTGGCGGCTCCTGCCCCTGCAGAGAGGGAGGGACTGGGGTGCACACAGCAGCGCGCCCAGGAAGGAAGGCTGCGGCCCCAGGGCCCCACGACGCCCCGAATGCCTATTGGGTAACTTTGGAAGGAACGTGCGGGGCTCTCTGGGGGAAATCCGCATTGAAATGAAGAGGCTTGAAGACATTTGGGAAACGGACATCGGGACTTCCCTTTGGTTACAGGTTAGGCAACCCACCAACATTAAGAAAGTTCTTGAGCAGGATGATAAGAAAGGCTGAGCTCTGCTGCTTTGGGGGAAGTTATCGGGGCCTCCTGGAGCCTCCACCCTGGGCCCCACCCCTATCCCATCCCCTACCCCCACACCTCGCCCCTTCCTGCACCCCAGCCCCACACCCACTCTACCAGGCAGGCATTGAGCGGTCTCCCCTGCCCTCTAGTGGCCTCTGCTGGAACTGCACCCGAGAAGACTCTAGTACAACCTGTCACACCTGCTGGAAAGCCCAGGCTGAGTGTCACGAGGGCTCACCTGGCCCCACCAGCGCTTCAGGCAGCCAGGAGGCCCACCCTGAAGCCACAGCCAGGCAGGGACAGGCCCGCCAGGAAGGGGTCTGGGCCCTGTCTCTCCCCCTCCTTTCACATCTGCAAACGTGTGAGCTTGAGCGGCCTCGAAAAGAAGTTTGCAAAAACCACGCTGCCCTTACCTTTTCATTGTCTTGGAAACATCATTCGCTGCAGGTTTGCCTCGTTGCAAAGAGACGTCACGTCAGGTGTTAAGTGCATGCTGGTATTTAACAAATAAGGCTGGCCCAGCTGGGTGTGGCTCAGCAGCTGAGCATGGACCCAGGAACCAGGAGGTCACCGGTTCGATTCCCGGTCAGGGCACACGCCCGGGTTGCAGGCTCGATCCCATGTAGGGGGCGTGCAGGAGGCAGCCGATCCATGATTCTCTCTCATCATTGATGTTTCTCTCTCTCCCTCTCCCTTCCTCTCTGAAATCAATGAAAATATTTTTTAAAAAATAAGGCTATTACATCACCCTTACAAATGTGTCCAGTGGATCCCAGACACCATAGTGACTTCACATCTACCATCTGTGGTTTAAAGAGGTAGGAGTAACCCTTTGCTGCAGAATCAGTAAATAGACATTTTCTAAAAAAAAAAAAATGAAAACAATGGCCAAAAGGGTGGTGTGGCCCTAGCTGGTGTTGCTCAGTAGATAGAGCATCGGCCTGCGGACCAAACGGTCCTGGGTTCAATTCCGGTCAAGGGCACCTTGCTTGCAGGCTCCTCCCTGGCCTGGGCCCTGGTCAGGGCTCGTGCAGGAGGCAGCCCATCGATGTGTTTCTCTCACATCGATGTTTCTCTCTGTCTTTCCTTCTCTCTTCCACTCTCTCTAAAAATCAATGGAAAAAAAAAAACCAACAACACTAAAACACAAACAACACGGTGGTGTGTGACTGCTTTCGTGTTTAAGTCAACCCCACGCCCGTCAGTCTTCTGTGGACTCCCCTGGGACACAAACTGTCCCCCCCGTAACGCCAGGGTCACCAACTATCACACGGTTGTCTTTTCATCGTGAATCAGCCCCCTGACATTACTTTCTTCATTCAGGTAAGACAGAGGAAGACTTATTACCAAAAATGTTTTTATTGTCTACACTCCTATTTATATAGCTGTAAACTCAAGGAATCATCCAACAGTTGTATAAACTGGGGGAACAGTTAATAAGCACCTTCAATGGTTTCCACAGTTCAAGAATTTACCATTTAAAAAAACACTTACAAAAATTATACAAAAATCACGACAAACGTTTGAATATAGAGGGCTTGATATAGAATGAATGATAAATATAAAAAGAAAGTGAAACTAATTTATGAGTTGGGCCATCTAAACAACCTGTGTGTTCCCCAAACGCTGTGATTCTCGGGGGGGCGGAGGGGGCGGAACTCGCCTCTGAAAACAAACTCCAATTATTCAGGGAAAGGCTTTCTCCTGATTTAGGTTCCAACGGGCTGCAGCCTTGGCAGGTGTCGAGGTGCTGACAAAGTGGTGGGTGTGTCAGTGTGCGGCTGAGCTTATAAGGCCACAGGGGATGGCTCAGGCCTGGGAGGGTCTGCTCACCACTGGGGTGCTAAGTTGGGGAACACAACTTAGTTCCAGAGCACAGGGACAGGGCACATAACCCTCCCTCGGGGCTGTATTCATTTGTCTAAGGGTTTGGGGGGGGCGGGGGGGCGGGTCCTGTCTTTGTGGAGGGGTAGGAACTTCCCCATTCCAGAAGCTCAGGGCTTATGAGTTGGGGAACGGGGAGGGGAACGTTGTTAAGGCTCAGGCTGGCGGCCACTCAGCCACCAGGTCAGACAGTTTTCGGTCTGGACCCTTTGCAGCAGGGTGTTGCTGCGAAATACTCGGTGAGGAAACAAGGCAGTCTTGTCTTCATTTCCGCTCAATGCAGTCAACTCCCAGGGTGTTGTCAGGGCAACGGCAGGTCCTGCTTCCTGGGGTGGCCAAGCAGAGGTGGGTGCAGCCACCGTTGTTCACTGAGCAGTAGTTGTGACCTGGAGGAGGCAGAAATCAGCTCGACAGCCTCTAAGCACATGGAGGCCACGCCTGTGGGGGCTCCGGGGTGCAGTGGGGGGCTGTACCAGGAACTCAGCTAAGCTCAGCTCCTGGCTGTTTCTGCCAGAGAGTCCGAAAGCCTGATTCCTGCCCCGGGGGCATGCAGGTCTCAGGGAGAGCAGACTTGCTCTGATTATAACACGGAGTTGGAATTTTAAAGCACAAAGTACCCTCTACCTAGCTTGCCCATGTGGCGTTGCACCTGACTGGGGGGAGGAGGGAGGCAGGGGCGAGAGTCTGTCCGGGGAGGGGTCTAGAAGAGGCAGCACCGACTCCGGGGCCGGGCTTGCCTCTGGTTCTGCCACGGTCAGCCATGTGATGTTGGGCAAATGGCTTCAGCTTCCTTATTTATCAAACTAGAGGCCCAGTGCACGAATTCGTGCACGGGTGGGGTCCAGCCAGCCCGCCCCGATCAGGGCCGATCGGGCAGGACCAGCCAGGGGGAGGGGCTGCGGGTGGTTGGCCAGCCGGCCCACCCCCCTGGTCGAACTCCCAGTCGAAATCCTGGCCGAGGGGACAATTTGCATATTAGCCCTTTATTATATAGGATGAGCATAATAGCCCAGTGGGTGTGGCTCAGTGGTTGAGCGTCGACCTAGGAACCAGAAAGTCAGGTTCCTAGGGCACATGCCCGGGTTGCGGGCTCGATCCCCAGTAGGGAGCGTGCAGGAGGCAGCCCATCAATGACTCTCTCATATGGATGCTTCTCTCTCTCTCTCTCCCTTCCTCTCTGAAATCAATAGAAATCTATTTTAAAGGAGCATAACAATCGTAGCTACCTCACGGCATTGCTGTGAGGAGTAAATGAACGAATGAACACACAGCACTCAGGATGCCGAGGGAGTCCATCTGTGCAAAGCACCAGCTCGCCGAAAGTGCCCGCTCCGTGTTTATAACTATATTTATTATTAATTATGGCTATGGCTGTTCGGCCGAATACATGGACGTTCAAAGCAGCAGAGCTCCTAGCACTGATGCTCCCGGCTGGAACCTTCTAGAAGGCAGCCACTTCTGGACCCGGCCCTAGACTCAGTGCTCTTCCTCCCCTTGTCCCTTCAGGCCACGTCCTACGCATCTGGCTCAGCCACAAACAAGGCAGACCCTGGACCGGGGGGGACCGCACCTCCCCTGCGAGTGTGGGTGCGGCCCCTGCGCAGGGGGAGCCCAGGTGGGTTACCTTGGGGACACTGAGACAGGGCGGTGGTGATGCCGTACAGCCGGGTCTGCTTGTGGGGGTGGAAGGTGTCCGTCTCTTTGGCAACAGCGATATCAACGGCAGCCACGGAATTCCTACAAGAACCCAGAGGTGGAAGGTAACACACAGCTGACGGCTCCCACTTTATTCGACAGAGCAGCCTCTTCCGTGGTTTTGGGGAGACGCTGGAGGCGGTGCAGTGTACACTGCTACCCTGGCCTTGCCCCCCAGCCAGCCCTTCCTCCGCGGGGGTGGTCAAGCCTGCATTTTCCTTTTTTTTTCTTATATATAAATATATGCTTTTATTGATTTCAGAGGGGGATGAAGGGAGGGAGTTAGAAATATCAATGAGGAGGGAGAATCATCGATCCGCTGCCTCCTGTATGCCCCACACTCAGGCATGTGCCCTGACCAGAATAGAATCGTGACTTCCTGGCTCATAGGTCAATACTCAACCACTGAGCCACACTGGCTGGGCTTCCCTGTCTTCTTAAAAAAAAGGACAGAGCCCTAGCTGGTTTGGCTCAGTGGATAGAGCGTTGGCCTGCAGACTGAAGGGTCCTGGGTTCGGTTCCGGTCAAGGGTATATGCCGGGGTCATGGCTCGATCCCCAGGAGGGGCATGCAGGAGGCAGCCAATTGATGATTCTCTCTCATCATTGATGTTTCTATCTCTTCAGCTATCTCCCTTCCTCTCTAAAATCAATAAAAATATATTAAAAATAAAGAACAGGATTGGCTGGGGTTCCCCTCTGGCACCACACTCTAAGCTGGGAAATCGCTTTCTATGCACGCAGCCCAGCCACAGGGCTTGTTCTGTTTAACCTCCTTTTTGCCGGGAGGGGTGGCCGAGGGCCTGTGGAACATGCAGCTTAAGTACAACGAGGAAGTGGGGCACGGAGTGGGCACGGAGCCCACCAGCCGAGGGCCCCCCGGCCAGCTCCGGGGAAAGAACAGGGGTGCTCAGGGCTCAGCAAGCCCCAGGGTACAGCCTGGAGGCCGCCGCCCACCCTGCTGCGCCCATGGCATCCATGGCGCCCACTCTCCCAGGAGCCTCGCCATCTCCTGGCCACCGGGAGGCCAGCCGGTGGGGGCATCTTGGAGACGGGAGGTCAGGCCAGGGGGCAGAAGGGCAGGGCTGGGCCGCCCCAAGGGGGAGGGTGGCCAGGCAGGCCGCTGACTCACGTCTTCCAGTCCGTGTAATACAGATTCTTCCCGAAGCTCGTCACCGAGAAAGGGTACTGGAGGCCTTCGAGGACCCTGCGACGGACAGGCTGCTCCGGCCTTAGGCACTCGGCCCGGCTAGTGCCTGTGGGAGCGAGAACAAGCCCTTCATTGTCCCCGCCCAGGAAAGGGCCCCT